AATACAACATAGATGACATATCAAAGGATTAAACTGAGAAAATGAATAATTTTAAGGGAAAATTAAGTTGATTTTAAATTTCATGGCATCAACACATCTCAAAAAAGTTGGGACAAGGCCATGTTTACCACTGTGTGGCATCCCCTCTTCTTTTTATAACAGTCTGCAAACGTCTGGGGACTGAGGAGACAAGTTGCTCAAGTTTAGGAATAGGAATGTTGTCCCATTCTTGTCTAATACAGGCTTCTAGTTGCTCAACTGTCTTAGGTCTCCTTTGTCGCATCTTCCTCTTTATGATGCGCCAAATGTTTTCTATGTTTCTATCATGAACAGTGAGTGATCTGCCTGCTACAGTATTTTTCTCTGTGCATCCGTCTTCAACGTCTCTGGCCTCTATTTTCACATAAATGACATTTTGGAAAACGATTGCATTGCAACGCAGTTTGTGCAAGTCCAGAACAGAGATGAGTTGCAATAAGACAAAAAACAGCCAGTTGCCGATCGCGTAAATTCCAGGGGAAGCTTTTTAAGTTCGTCCATCCTACACACACGTGACTGACCGCTCGCTCGCACCAACAGGAGGAGAGTCGTGTTACTCTCTACACTGCACTCAACCTGAGGGATTCCTACACTTTCGGTCTTTGAGGAAACATGAAAAACAGCGCATACTGCAGGAACGGTAAATATGTGCGGTTTTTAAACCGTGACACTTTCAAATCGCGGTATACCTTGAAACTGGTAATCGGCCCATGCCTAGGCGGGACCATCTTCGATTTTTACTTCTCCCTCACACTCCATCATGCCAATAGCGCGAGGATATCATCACGTTCTCACGAGATCTCATCACCCCCCTATTAACTGCCATTATGCCACAGATGCTGTTACTTGAGCTAAACTTGTATTTAACCTGGAATGTTTTCCTGTACAGTATTCAGGACTGACCTCTGCGGTGTTGACGACGGCTCTCCAGGTGCCCAGGTTCTCACACCAGCAGTCCGTCCGTGAAATGTGCAGCTGGAGGTCGCTGTGCTCCTTCTCCATGGCGCAGATTTCCTCCTTCAGTAGTGACACAATCTACAAGAAAGGCATTTTCATGAGTTCCAGCGCATCAGAAGTCTGTCGTAGGTCTCTGACCCTTACTGGTGCTTCATCTAACTGGAGACAGCAGCTGCTGCTCTGAAGGAGAATGGAAACACTGACCCTGAGATCTCTGCCAGCACAGGAATAAAGAGACCCTCAGAGAACACAATGAGACCATGACAGAGAGAAATCGATTCCTGCCTCAGCTCATGGATCAAATCAAACCAAACACAGTACAGACTATGAACTCCAAAACTTCAGTAGTCAACACCAGTACTAGTGACAAATTACATAAATAAATAGTTGTTTCAGGAGTTAAGATTGCATTTATTTGATAAAAAACAAAGCAAAAACAGTAATAATGTGACATTTAAAATAACCGTTTTCTATTTTAATATATTTCAAGGCAAAGCTAAATGTTCAGCATCATTACTCCAGTCTTCAGTGTCACATGATCCTTTAGAAATCATTCTAATATGCTGATTTGCTGCTCAATAAACATTTCTGAACATGTTGAAAACAGTTGTGATGCTAAATATTTTTGTGGAAACCATGAGACATATTGCCACTTTTGATCAATTTAATGCATCCTTGCTGAATAAAAATATAGATTTCTTTAAAAAAATAAAATAAAATCTTCCTCACCCCAAACTTTTGAACGGTAGTTTATCTATAAGCAGTGTCTAGTATAGCGCAAAATAAAACTCCTAAAATCAATGTATTCTAATTCAAAAAGAACAAAACTGCAAACTGAAAACAGGTTGTTCAGACATCATTTATCAGTGTAGCTTCATCTACACCAGTAATATGTGGTTTTCAAAGGAAGTTCACACCAATATTTTCATCATGGCTGGCTTGGCCGTTTATATTCAGACCGCAGTGACCACAGGTTTGATCACAGTGACAGACCTGAGTCTGAGATAATGAGGGGGGGTGGGATCGTGCTTTTGAAGAACTGGTACTTTTGACACCCTATTAGAAAGTACTTCACATCCATTAGTACAGACATAACAATATAATATATATTTATGTGCTAACACAGAATAGTCTAAACTGAAACAAATATTCTCTATACCAATCTTTACTCGTTTATTTAGCAAATGAAAAATGAGTTCAAAGTTATGGAAAATAAAGTGCTATTAATTTGCACAGGACGAGCAGATACGAAACGTGTAGGGCGAGGGGAGATTTTCCACTAGTTAATCGATCACGGATGGTTTCATTATTTCAGGTGAATAAAAATATATATATATATAAGAGGATAAAAATAATAAAAGCAAAAATGTTTCTCTAAATATACTTGGGCGGCCCGTCCAAGTAAAGTCTATGTGTGGGAAACACTATAGTCTGATGCACAACCCCGGTTATCAGTCTTTATTTATTTATTATTATTTCAAATAAAAGGATAATATTTCACATTAATGGGGCTATAATTCTGGGTGTACCTTTTTATCAGGTCGCGGTGCATTCTGGATAGAGCCCAAGGCTTGGCGTTTGTACTCCAGTCTCTCGTACAGCTGGTGTAGTTTGGTGGCGGCGTAACTGGCCTGTTCGTTGATGCCTTTGCTGCCCTCATCCAGGGCCACATCCCCTCCTTCCATCACCTGACCCTAAACGCACAGAAATACAAGAGGAAAGTCACAGAAAATGGCGACGGAGTGATTGGATGTAGAAGCTAGGCTCATGTCGTGTAAAACTCACAGCGTAGTCTTTCTCCTCGCTGCTGGACTGTGAGCTGCTCCTTTGCTCCTCTCGTTTAATGAGCCGCTCGTACAGGTCGCTCACCAGGAAGGATGGGTAATAGCGCTCCTTCATGGTCTCGTACACGTCTCCCTGGATCCTGTGGAACACGTCTGTACCCTTGTTCCCCACCAACGTCTGCTGGATCTCTCTATAAAGAGGCTTCTCCACCGGGATCTCCCTGCTCTCCACAAAGAAGTTCTGGTAGATCTCTCCCACCAGCTGCGGCACTTCATTCTGCACAGAGGAAGAACAATCCTGACACAATCTTGTCTTGCTCATTAAGGGCATTCCTTTAAAATTCAATCTCACAGTTAGGTCATTAATTAATTTAACAAGAGATTAATTAAACAACAAAAAAATAAAACTATACACTTTGCATCGATAGCAAAAAATTGTACATTAAAATACTGTTTTAGGTTTTTTCGTAATTCCTATAAATTTCAATATAATACTTGTTTATATACAGTACTGTGCAAAAGTCTTAGGCCATTAGTATTTTTACCAACCAAAAAAATGGTTTTAAACCAGTTATTTCTATCTTTTGAAGAAACAGAAAAAACTGAGACAGACTAAATCAAGAAGAACACTGGCAATGCCTCCAAGATGCTTGAAGAAACCTACCTGCAAAGCTACAGTACTGTGAAAGGTTTTAGGCACTTTTGTAAAAATGCTGTAAAGTGAGGATGTTTTCAAAAATAATGTCATAAATAGATTTTATTTATCAATTAACTTATATTTACTAAATCAGTTCAACATTTGGTGTGACCACTCTTTGTGTTTAAAACAGCTTTTGCCCTAGTTGCACTTGCGCATAGTTTTAAATAAGAATCAGTGCATATTGAATTCAAAGAGTAAATACTACGCAGTGTTTTATTTTTCCTTTTTATTATTGAGTTCCTAAACTCATGTTAAAATGATTACGCTAATGTTAAAATGCCATTTTTATGTAATGCTTGAGTAAAACACTACCGTTCACTTTCAGAAGTTGTTGTAGGGGTGCTTTCTTAATAGAATCAGAATCAGAATGAGCTTTATTCACCACTTAAGTGTGCGCAAACACAAGGAATTCGTTGTGGTTTTACAGGAATTCTTGGTACATACATACATACATACAAATAACCATATACTGTATATATATATGACAAGATAGTTATAGAAGTTCACAGAACTGACTCTGAAAATGACTTCACTGAAAAAACTGTTTCATCTGAGCATGTGGCACTTTAAGCATTATTGTATCGCATATCGAATATCGCATTATTTTATGAGTTATCGCATATCACATTTTTCTTTAATATCGCACAGCCCTACTTAACGTGATTTACTGGATGGGAGGAGTGCTACAAATAATGTTTTGTTCACGCATCAACTGAAAACCGCATATTGTAGATCAATTCTTGGGATTTAACAATCGATATCGGTACATCCAAATGAAAATAGATTAAAATCGAGAAATCTGTATTTTACGATACTGACGATCATGTGCCTGACCACTTGAGCAGTGTGTTTCCAGGTTTGTACAGTAGTATCACAGAACTCACACCTCCACCATGAATAAATCACCATGCAAATGTATTTTTACAGACGTCCCCATGAGAAAGAATTATTGTCTGTCTCTTTTACTCGTCTGCTGACAGAGCTTCAGCTCAAGGTCTTGATGTTCTGCTGACCTTGTTGGCGCTCTTGAGCATCTCCACCAGCTCCCAAAAGCTAATCAGAGCCCTCTTATCCACGCGCTCCATGTAGACACGGAAATGCCCGCGGTACACTGCATTTGACATGATCTCCTCAAACTGAAGTATCTGTGAGAGGACAAGAAACAAATGAAGCAGACGGTGTTATTATTAAAAACACTTGAAAACATGACACTGTAGAGGACACAAGTGGAGTTTCATCTCAAGAACGCTGGGTAATTTATCAGTATCACTGATGCCAGCTGACGAGGATGTTTCTTCTCTCCTTTTAAAGGGTTTCTACACTCCTTTATATTTTTTTCTTGATAGTCAAGGTTTCTCTCTGACCCTAAGAATTAAGGACATTTTTGCTATTGTACCATTAAGTAAATATATAGTAAATGTTGGCTAACCTCCACGTACTGGCAAGATTCACACCAAAGTAGCTGAAATCATTCTAATATGCCGATTTGCTGCTCAACAAACATTTCTTACTATTATCAATGCTGAAAACAGTTGTGCTGCTACATATTTTTGTGGTTTTTCAGGATACTTTGAAGAATAGAAAGCTCAAAAGAATAACATTTATTAGCAATTAATAAATGTCTTTACTGACTCACTTTTGATCAATTTATTACATCTTTGTTCAATGAAAATATTAATTTCTTTTAAAAAACAAAAACATTAATAATAATAGTAGCTTACTGGTCAAACTTTTTAATTGGTAGTGTAGGTCAGTGTTATTTTTTTACTCGAGTATTTATTTACTTATTTAGTTAAATTGTTTTAGTTAAATTAGTATTAGTTTTTGTCATTTGTAAACGTTAAATATATGTCTATATAGTTTTATTCATTTGAGTTTTTAGTTTATTTTAGTACATAAAATACTATCTACTAAGTACATAGTACTTTAGTACATGAAAAATATAATTTTTTTTAATGGTTTTAATTAGGGATGCACAGATACCACTTTTTCCAGTACTCGTCCGATACCGATACTTTTCTTTTTTTTTTACTTGCCGATACCGAGTACTGATACCGATATTTTTATTGCATTTGTAAAATTTTTAAATATTGGGTACAGAAACCAAAAGAGCATGCATAATGTTAGTTCGTTAACTTAATTTATCAAATAGATACAGTCAAACCAAAATCTATTCAGACACCTTCAACATTTCTCACATTATCACAATTTATTCGCTATAGTTTAGAAAATGGTAATAAAATATGACAAGAACTCAAAGTTAAATTATGTCAGAACAAATTCAGCTTGATAATGCTAGATAACTTTTATAGAAAGGTATGTAATGGATTACAATCAACCAAAAATAACTCAGACAGCTGTTAGTATTACAGTATTTACACAACTATCAATACTTAATTGGGCAACCCTTAGCCTTAATGACAGCCTGTAGTCTCCTGGGCATGCTGTCACCCAGCTTCATGAAAACCTCAACTTCAGTTTTTTTCCCAGACTTGGTCTGAATCATTTTTGGTCCCAAATTCGTATTAGTTTTACTGGTAGTCCACTATGTGAAGAATTTTTGGGTATAATTTGTCACAGTTTACTTTATTTTGCTATCCTCACTTACATAAATGAACTATAGTGTCCTGCACCCACTAGTAAAAAAATATCAAAAATGATATCTGGTCTCTGAATACTTTTTGGTTTGACTGTATATCCTTCGGTTATTTTCACACTTAATTATGTATTTTTCAAGTTTTTGTTTCTTTCACTGATCTTTTTTTTTTTTTTTTTTGCTCTATGGTACATAATCTTTCATTTAATAGCATTAGAGCTGCTCCATTGCAGCGGCTTAGTCCTGTAATCACGCGCTTTGCTGTAATAATGCTGGGAACCACTCGTATAATCGCTCAACCCACTCAGCGTGCTTTGCTTATCAGCTCGCACACGTCAGCTATACAGGTGTTAATACTGAATTTTAACATTCATTGCATACATATACTTCGTAGACATCCTTAATCTCTAATAACCATTCTGCTGTCTGTTGTCGGTGTTTCTTTGTCTGAATAAGGCACTTATCACATGTTGTGTGTTATCGGCGCTTGGTATCGGGGCATTTTAACGAGTACGAGTACAGGAGCTCAGTATCGGGCCCGATACCAATACTGGTGCATCCCTAGTTTTAATTTTAGTTTCAGTTAACTAGAACAACCCTGGTGTAAGTCTGAATAAAAACCTGTTCTCTATTCTGAACACTAGTAAATGTGGTTGGACTATAACCATGACAATTTCTAAATAACCCATTTTTGCAGTTAATAGTCTGGGGAAGGAGCTTTGCATCAAAAGAACGCAAAGAAAATCCTTTCTTTCCAGGAAGCATCATGCAGTAATGTTTTAAGCTTTACACACTGAGGTTCCCGTGTTCTTCTAAGCAGGCTTTCAGAGCAGGAGATTCGGCCTGTTAGTGTTTGAAATAGTGCTGTGCACTTTGACCAAAAATCTGAATCAGTTTCACGGTTTATCACGTGTTTTTCCCTGACTGTGCCTTTATATGAAACAGAATGCATGAAACAGATGTTGAACCACTGCATTTTAATCACTACCAAACAAAGATGCTACATGTAGCTTGAGTAGTTGTTGATTTAAATTAGATTGTACAATTTCACAATGTAAAGCTTTGTGAAATTATGCTACACAAAACAGAAACAGCAGGTTCCCTGGTTACCGCTGTAAACAAAGCTGCGCGTAAAAATACTGATTTAATATGAATTCTAGAGACGAGCTGAAAAGAAAATACCATCTAAACTTTTCATTCATATAAACCCCCACACCCAATTCAATATCTAGGATTTTCATCCAATATTTCGCACATCGTGAACAGTGAGCTGCTCTGTATGGTTCAGTATTTTATGCTCTTTTATCATAATTGTTTTGTTTTTATTGAGCCATTATTCTGGCATTACATGGTTTACCGATTCACATCGCTTTGATCCCAGTATTTACCCACCTAGTGGAAGTTTGTCATCGGAAGAGGCAAGGGTGAGTTATGAACGCATAATATGACCAAGAGGCAACCTTCCGGTTTCTCTCTTGAAACCGACACGAAACTGACTTAAACTGTAATTCATCGACTGGCCGCTAGAGACTGGCTCCAAAAGGGACAAGTGTTAAAATGCCCAACTTTACAGCAGAAAAAAGTATGTTTACAGCCTGGTACAAAAAGTGGTTTTGGTCTATATAGCTAATTTTGCCCGTCATGACAACTGTGAGGGGGGCGAATTTTTTTTTATAACTCATCAATTTAAATTATATTACGCCTTAAAGTTCTGCATAATTAAGGGCGTGGCCACTTGAGTGACAGGTGGATTGCTGCAAGCGTCATCCTTCCGGTCTCTCTCTTGAAACCAACACGGAAGTGACTTAAACTGCAATTCATCGACTGGCCGCTAGAGACTGGTTCCAAAAGGGAGTCAATCCCATAGAGCCCCCATGTTAAAATGCCCAACTTTACAGCAGAAAAAAGTATGTTTACAGCCTGGTACAAAAAGTGGTTTTGGTCTATATAGCTAATTTTGCCCGTCATGACAACTGTGAGGGGGGCGAATTTTTTTTTATAACTCATCAATTTAAATTATATTACGCCTTAAAGTTCTGCATAATTAAGGGCGTGGCCACTTGAGTGACAGGTGGATTGCTGCTGCTGTCACCACCGTCGAGCTATAGGCGGGCGTGGTTTCAGCAACCAGCTCCACCCTCATCCCACCTCTTTGGCCATTTTCGAATATCCAGGTGTGGCACGCTGCCAAGATGGTGACGGCCGACTCCGCCCACTTTAGGCTTCAAAAATGCTCTTCTGAAACCTATGTGTGACGTCACGGACACTACATCCATGTTTTTATAAAGTCTATGAATATGACTTCCATATGAGCTAGTGATGGGAAAAACAAACATTTTTGAAGCTTTGAATCAATTGAACCAATTGCAAAATGATTCACTGTTTCGAAGAGCTTGAAACACTAGAGCCCTGCACAGGTCTCAAATCTAGGCCTTAGCCCGGCCCTTGTCCGACTGGAGCCCTTGTCTTCGCTCTCGCTCTCTTGCCCATTGCACAGATGCTGTTGCAGCCATTAAAATAGTTCCATTTTGTTTTTAATGGCAAAGTGGTTATATTTCTTTTCATTTCTTTATTAAGTTAATTTAAGAATGTTTTGAAACAGTTATGACATAATGAAACCTCGTTTACTGAAATCACATGACTTTGGCAGTTTGATGTTTTGAAACAAATGAAGTTTTAAAGCTTCACGAAGCTGTGTTTTAAAGGCCCTGTCCTAAATCACAGCCTAAACCCTCGCGGTCTTCCTCGGAGTCCACACTTTTGTGACGTAATGCCGCTTTGACTGTCAGGTAGAAGTCTGCTACGGAGCTCGCCTCAGTGTGGGCTCGGCAGAAGAGTGCATCGAGGGCGCATAGTGGCCGCAAAGGGGGCGAGCACAATGAACACAAATAAACTTGATTATTTTGCACTCCTGATATAAAGAAATTACTGTCACTGCAACTGAGTTTTATCATAACAGTGTTCAAATATCGAAGCTGGAGTCTAATCTTTCTAATGATACACAGTTTGTTCAGATCAAGTAAGAGTGTGGTGTTTTAACGTGCTGTGAATGTGAAACGACAATAATCTGAGGCCGCCGGCGATCTTTGCAAGTTAAGTTAACTGTTAACTCTCAATTCATGATGCTGTCTACATTGCTTAGGCACTTGCATCGGTATGCCAGTTTTTTAAAAATACATACCGGTTGCGTAATTCAAACCAGTTTACCGTTTAAACCGGTATATCGCCCAGCACTAGTATGAAACCAAACACGCTCTGAGAGCCACATGACAGTGTGCTGCTCTCAGCTGGATCATTAGGGACATTCAGAGACAGGCCTGTCTGTGTGGGACGAGACAGTCTAGAGCTACTGAGACAACAACAACATGTCATAGGACTGAATTCAGGTAGAGAAGGGGCTTCCTGTCATAACATGCTTCTACACTGATCATGGAGAGATGGAAGGAGACACAGAAAGACAGAAAATGTTACTCCATTATATCAGGGCTCGGCAGTGCGAGCGTTTCGCTAAAAACAGATGTGTGTGAACTGTAAAATGCATGTAAAAAGTCATAAATTATTAAATTGCATAAACATCTTAATTCTAAGATTTAAAAAAACAGTATTCACGAAACAGCCTAATGTAAAAAAAATGTGCGCTGCACATTCAAAGTAGAAACGTGGTGCTATTGCTCTTTCTACAGGCTGTTCGCAATCAATGAATATCACACATTTATGCACAGTGATTGCTTATGATTTACTACAATGTTTACTTTATGGTGTTTATATGGTAATAATCTTGTAGATGGTTGTAAGATCTCATATTTGAATAATAAAGCATATGCATTTCAAAATAAGAGTCTCTGTGCATTTCGGGCTTGTTCATAATTAAAAGTCCTCAGCACAATGATATGTGATCTGTAATCTGTCTATTACAGCTAAATAGATAAATATTTACAGAAATATATATTTTTTTAAAACTAGTGTATTTTTTGTATTGTAATAAACTCGCATGGTCATGTGCAATGGCTGCATAAATGTAATTATGTCAACTATGGGACTATGCAATTTTTGATTTCGTATTGGCTTAGATATGGCGTTTCTGTGACTGTAATTTCTTCCTGTACCCTTTGGCCCTGTGGACCGTCCCCTTCATCCTGGGCTCCGTCCTCCTGCTGCTCATAGTTCGGACCCCCGAGGAGCCGGATCCGCTTCTCACACCGCTTCTTTGCCACTGTGAGCTGGTTAATGTAACGCTTCATGTTTCTGGCACGTAACAGGTCAGCCTTCAGAGCGGCTGCCTCTTTCCCTTTACTGTCTACAGAGAGAGAGAGAGAGAGAGAGAGAGAGAGAGAGAGAGAGAATTCATATGCAATCTCGCAGGAATCAGCTGTGATAGATAACTTAGAGAAACCAGCTCTGATGTCGGGAGCTGATATGATGTAAATGGCTCACAGTGTGTACCAGGACCATTTCCTTCTGCTTCATCTGTGTCACCTTCACACAGAGATCAAACTAGACATCAAGCAAGTACACAAACAAATTTGTATTTGTTTTGTTTTATGTTCATTTAATGTTTATTATTAAATCAGTGTTTCAAACTATTCCTAAATTTCTCAAATTTTGAAAACAGGGTTGCAAAACTTGCAAACCCCATTTGCCAAATGCTTTCCTTGATCCAAATGCCAATGCACATAACAAAATAATAATAAATCATTGGACAGTTCATTGGACAGATGCAACCAATGCTCTTTCCACTGAATTTTAAGGCAAACAATATAAAAGACATTTATTTTACAGTTTTACAATAATAAACTAATTTAGTACTAAACATAATGTGCAATACAAATACCACCACTAAATAATTACCTAATATGTACATGCAGTTTATTAGTACTAGGTACTTTTTTATAGGTAGGCATCAGTTATTGACTTTCCATGGACTTTCCGTGTGAAGTTTGAATGGAAAGAGCCACCTGTGGCATTCACAGAGCTCAGAATGAGTCTGGAAATATGAGCAATCACAGCCAACCAGCATCCATCTCACAGCACGCTCTGTCTGCTGCTGGAAACCAGGGAGGACGGGAGAGACTTTTACACAAGCGTTCCCTGCTCTCCTTCCTTTAATAGCCAGGGGTCATTGTGCCATTTGCCGATTACAGTGCAGCAGGAGACGGAAAACATGATGACAAATAAACAGCCCCTTTCCTGACTCTCTGCAAGAACTAACATAACATAAATGCTTCCCACCGCGTGAATAAATTGAGCTTTAATTAATCCAGCACTGAAATGAAGGCACGATTAATTAACTTTATCTCCAATCAAAGATGTTCAGCAGTAAGCTTGCTCGTTTAGTCAAAGAAAACCGCCTCATAACCAGTTTATTAGCTGTATATGCTGTATTTGTAAAGCTGAAAACATATTAATGTCTAAACTCTTTACTCTCTAAAATCTTTAAAATATGTTCCTTAGTAAATGCAATGGAACATTCCATAAAATTATATGAAACAAAATAAATAAATAAATAAAAATGAATAAAAGAAATAAACAAACTTCTTCCTTAGTAAACACAATGGAACATAACATAACTTAGGAATGAATGAACAAACAAGCAATCAATGAACAAACAAACAATGAATGAATGAATGAACAAACCGAATGAATGAAATAAATAAAATAAATTAATAAAAAAATGAATGAACAAACAATGAACGAATGAATGAACAATAAATGAATGAACAAAAAAATGAACACAAACAATGAATGAACGAATGAACAAAAACGAATGAATGAATGAACAAACGAACGAATGAATGAAATAAATAAATAAAATAAATTAATAAAAAAAATGAATGAACAAACAATGAACGAATGAATGAACAAAAAAATGAACACAAACAATGAATGAACGAATGAACAAAAACAAATGAATGAATGAATGAACAAACGAACGAACGAATGAATGAACGAACAAAACTTCTTTAGTAAGCACAAATGGAACATCCCATAAAATTGTTGGAATAAATAAATAAAATAAATTAATAATAAACAAAATTAAACAATAAATAAATAGTTTATCAATACCTTCAAACTAACATTTGGTGGCAAACTAGTTACAGTAACACCTAAAGAGACTAAAAGTGCAAGTCAGTTGCCCAATCTGGAGAATAAACAAAGACATTTTTTTAATATATAATTTTTTTATTATTTATTTTATAAAATAAGTAAACCATATTTAACTTGTAAACCATATTTAACTTGCTTCCTGGGGTGGACAAACAAATTTTAAAAAGGTAAATCACCACCTTTTACTGATACTTTATTTAAAAAACGGAGTTATTTGGTAGAAAAGTGGCAAAAATTAATAATTCAGAAGAAATTACACTTGTTTTTTCTTTAGGTGTTGCTTTCCGAAAACACCTCATTTTTATCCCAGTAGTCTAGAGTTCCACTGAATACCAAAACATATTTAAAGTGGTTGGAGAGTATGATTTCTGTAAGTATCAGCTGATGTGTTTTATGGCTGCACAGTAAATGTCATCGCTGGCTACTACAGCCCACTGTCTGGAAGCAGAGCTGCTCGTGCACACACCGCACCAGCTTCACTGTAATTACCCATCAAAGAGCGGCACCCGGCTAGACGCAGGACACTACAGAAGCTCTTTTCAGGAAGAGCACAACAGCTTCAGAATAGCTCATGAAAGAGCAGAGCAAATAAGGTGCAGTATAACATCTTCAATTTAGCGTAATACCCTGGCTTGACTGCTGGCATATTTTTTTCTCTTAGACTGTCCATCACAAAGCTATTCTGACCATTAGACTCTATTAAAGGAAATTACAAAACATCAAAATGAAAATGGAGCGCACAAATTGAGTTTCCTTAAAGGGGTCATATGATGTTGCTAAAAAGAACATTATTTTGTGTATTTGGTGTAATGAAATGTGTTTATGCGGTTCAAAAAACACATTATTTTCCACAGACTGTACATTATCGTTTCTCCTCTATGCCCCGCTTTTCTGAAACGTGTCAATATTTACAAAGCTCATCGTTCTGAAAAGCGAGGTGCGCACTGATTGGCCAGCTATACAGCGCATTGTGATTGGTCAAATACCTCAAGCGTGTGACGGAAATGTTATGCCCTTACCATACGGTGATGCTGTATCCCGGCCGGAGCGACGAGACAAAAACATGAAAACGAGGAAACATGAAAACATGATAAACGAGGCATTTGTTGCATCCAGTGGGGACATAATTACGGATTATAATGACTTATACTGTCCTTTTACGAATTGTGTTGCATCGCGCCACATAAACATAAAACCATGTCTGCATTTGTGATCAGAGAAACGACAAACAACAAGCGCTACTCTACACTGCTCAAAACTCGCGTTTGAATCATCAGTGGCAAATCCTTTAAATATGAAAACGTACTTACAGACTGTGAGTCAGAACACCGGTATTGTAGTCTACTCTACCAGGATCAGGAAACAGTCCTCCATAAAATGTGCTGCACACATCTAAATATTTGGGTTGAACTGTTTTGGAACAGTGTTGTAAATACAACTTAACCACTGATTTCTAGTCGTGTCCTATTTGGAAGGACAAAACACCAAACAAAGTACTTTCGCTTAGCGTCTTCACAACATAGCGTCGGCAGCAACAATAAAGTTACGCCTTCTTTCTTTGCATGAACATTTTGGTGGCGTTATGCAAATCTTCCCACACAGTGACGTAGACTTGTGGGGCCGTGTCTAAACGAGGCGTTTTAGGAGGGCATAGACAAGTCTTAACTTTTATAAAGAATATCTCTTTGGGTTTGAGACTTTAGTCTTTGCAACTTTAGAGATCTTATCTATTCACGAACAGCTTGTAACACTCCAAAGAGAAAGGAAAACTTGAAATCGCATCATATGACCCCTTTAAAAGTTGATCATTCGAGTCAAATGAAGAAAAAGAGGAAGAAAGCAGCAACTCAGAGTTTTGTATTCCTAAATAATGAGAGATATGATTGACCGATGTGTTTGAAGGTCATTGTAGCGTCTGGACCAGTCAAACACACTATTTTTCATTTGATTTAGCAAATCAGTTATTCATTAGATTAACAAAACGTTCACAGACCCCTCACCCAATAAACATACTGGGTGCCAAGTTGTCTGTGAACAGGGCTTACCTTTCTGTCTCTTCAGCTGTGGGATACTGCTAATGGTGGTCGCCTGAATGATCTCCACAACTATCTGATACCTGCAGAAACACAAAATGACAGCAGAGTGATGAAATGAAGAATATGGACATACACAAGTTATTACATTTTCTTAAGAAAATCTGAGTGGGGTTTAAACACGCAAAAGAAAAAAAGCACTTCAAATGGTTGCTAGAGCATGTTGCTAGAGATTTTAGCATTTTGCTATGTAATTTTAAATCATATTATTATTATTAAATTGTAGGGTTACATATGAATGAATGTTTATTTATCAAGCCAGAAGGCCATCAGAGTAATTTTTTTCTTAGGTGTTTCTTTCTTGGTTGGTTGGTTCAATTAAAAAAGGCGTGAGCAATAGAAATTAAGAATTAACCATAAGTGTGAGCAATAGTGATGTTTGACTGGAAAATTAAAACTGGTATTTGTTGGTAAAACTTTCACATGATGGCACCATAAAACAGTACCATAAACATACAACACAACTACTGTATGTAAGCTGATTATATTCGTGCATGTTTTGCTTTTTGTGAAATGACATGAATTTATCCAGTGTTGTTATTTTTAACTAAAACTATTAAAAAACGTTTTTGGTAACTGAAATAAAGCTGAAATATATGAATATTAGATAAAAACTGAAAAATTTAAAAGGATGCCTTGGCAACGAACTGAAATAAATATGTTGACAACACTTTACAATAAGTTTCTATTAGTTAGAATCCATTAACGAACAATAAGAAATACATATGTTACAGTTTTTATTAATCTTTTTAACATTAGTTAATAAAAATACAACTAGTCATTGTTAGTTAATGTAACCTAGTACATTAAATATTAATAGATATAACTTCTGATTTTAATAATTAAATGTTATAATTAACATCAACTAATAAATGTTTTAGAAGTATTTTTATTGTTAGTTCATGTTTACTAATGTGAACAAATGCAGTCATATCGAAAAATTTTACCTAAAAGTTTAAGTTCACATACTAAAAATGCTAACATTTAAAGTTAAAGCTATGTAGAAATATAAAAAAAACACTATAATAGTATATAAGACATTTATCAAGTGCAGTCTTGTTATAAGCTTTTAAAGGGGTCATATGATGCTGCTAAAAAGAACATTATTTTGTGTATTTGGTGTAATGAAATGTGTTTATGCGGTTTAAGGTTCAAAAAACACATTATTTTCCACATACTGTACATTATTGTTTCTCCTCTATGCCCCGCCTTTCTGAAACGCGCCGATTTTTACAAAGCTCATCGTTCAGAAAAGCGAGGTGTGCTCTGATTGGCCAGCTATTCAGTGCATTGTGATTGGCCGAATACCTCAAGCATTCGACGGAAATGTTACGCCCCTTACCATATTGTGATGCCCTGTCCGGCCGGAGCGTAACATAAAACCATGTCTGCATTTGTGACCGGAGAAATGACAAACAACAAGTGCTTGCTTTCACAACGAAAAAGCGTTACACACTGCGGGCTAGAGTGAGCAGAGGCCGGAGGCCTAGAGTATGCGGAGGCCGGCTTGAGTGAGCACAGGCGGCGGGCTTGGGAACGATCGACAGCGAAGTTGATGTATTTCCTCAGCGACCAGCACGGATCAGCTCCAGGCATGACGAAGGCCTCTTTTGGAAGGCCATCCAAAGTAGTTTCACTTTCACAATGAAACACAGCGTCTTCACGACATGGCGGCAGTGGGCAACAAAAATACTACAGCGAGAATCAAAGTTACGCCTTCTTTCTTTGCGTGAACATTTGGGCGGCGTTATGCAAATCTTCCCACATTGTGACGTAGACATGTGGGGGCGTGTTAGAACGAGCCGTTTTAGGCAGGCGTGGTTGACTTAACTTTTATAAAGAATATCTCTTTGGATTTGAGACTTTAGTCTTTGCAACTTTACAGATCTTCTTTATTCACCAAGAGCTTGTAACACTCCAAAGAGAAAGGAAAAATTGAAATCGCATCATATGACCCCTTTAAGATCGAGTGTAAACTGATTAACTAAACAGTCTGTATAAAGCCTCACATTATAAATCATCTCAATTTAGTTTGTACCCATACTGTGCACTTTAAACAAAGAAATCTTGAACCAAAGTAAACTGATTAACTAAATATCAAGTCTGCGTAAACAATTCTGTTGATTAAAAATGATCCTCCAAACGTCGACCAAGAGGCAAGGACATTTTCCTTTAAATTCAGACTGTCTGTAGTATAAAATCACTTCCACTAACACGTCTCAGCTATTGAATAATGAGAGTTTCATTGATAAATTCCTCTGAGGAATAATACTCTCAAAATTAATGAAACGGATCCTTTCGATATTAAGAAATACTGAATATTTATTACACACTTTCTGCTCTCACAGCCCCTGATGAGAGAGGACGTGATTGAGAGTACGACTGCATGAAATACAAGTAATTTGAGAACATTGCCACAAGTAGCTGGTGCCAAATGAGAGTATTATTATTAAGACGATATGGAGGGTGACCTTCAAAATTGACATGTCACAACATGAGAGTTTGTGATATTTATGGAAATTTGGGCAAATGTCATGCTGCCTTCGTTTAACACCTGAATTTATGAGATGAACGTAATGCCTTAATTATAAGTGGAAATCTCTGGATTGTGTCAATTAAACAATCATAGTGGAAGCAAATTGATAGTGGTTATAGTTAAGTTGAGATTGTGAATGTTAAAGGAATAGTTCAGCAATGAACATTTACTAAAAATATACTCACGCTCAGGCCACCCAAGATGTAGGTGAGTTTGTTTCTTCATGGGAAAAGATTTGGAGAAAGTGTTTTATTTATTACATCACTTGCTCACCAATGGAGAGTCCAAACAGCTGATAAAAACATCACAGTAAACCACAAGCAATCCACACCACATCAGTCTATCAATTAACGAAGCAAAAAACTGCGTAAAATAAGAGTCCTCTATCCATAATTTAGCTTTCTCTAGTAAAAAAGTCATCTTGTCTGAATCAGGAGAGAAATATGCACAGATCAAGCACAATGGGTGGATTTTGATGTGAGAGGACAACAGGAGATGGACTTTTTCACTGAAGGAAGCGTTATTATGGATAATGAACGGTTTATAATGATTTTATCAGCTGTTTGGACTCTGAATCGGTTCCAATGGGGGGGGGGGGATAAATATACATCTTGAATGGCCTGAGGGTGCAAATTTAAATTTTAGGTAAACTATTCCTAATAGTTAAGCAATTTAGTTTGTATGTATTTTGTGGTCTGATAAAAAGCCAGTTTATCTGGCAGCAGATTTGCAGACTGAATTAAATGTCCCATCAATCCCAGTAAAAGCATAAGAATCATAAAATACACAAAACATCAAATACAAACCTGAAGCAGATAATTTTCTGTTCATTTAGATGTATAGGGCTAAAACTCTTTGCTAGGACTTGAAAAGAGAACAAAAAGACTGCCCAGTTGATAATTTTATCAAAATCACTTTACATTGCAATTTCGAATTGCAAACACTTAAACAGGAACTTTTCAGGAAGATTTGAAGGCAGCATCACATTTACCCATCCTATTGGCTTTTACACTAATTCAATTTCCATAAAGCTGCTTTCAGAGCTCTAATCTTTAAGCTTCCTTTCTCTGCTTCTTCGAAACTAAATCAAACACAACTCAAGCTGTTTTACGGTCTCTGGCGAGATCAGAAACCTGTGCGTTTAATTGTGTCTCGTTACCTGACCTCAGGTTTCTTCCTGGTGTGAAATGCGATGGTCAAACTATAGATGCTGAATTTCCTCAACACAACAAACGTCCTTTTCCTTTCAGCTTTCAAACAAAGACTGTTTAACCCCTTGTGCATATCTAATAGGAGCCCATTTAAAAAAAAACACCCTCTTTGGCTGATGAGATGTTCAGTGTTTAGACTTAAAGTGCCAATGCGACTAAAGAAAAGCCCAAGAGGCTTATAGTTGTCATGGAAACAAAGGTCTCAGGTAAACTGTAGAGTTGACAGACCACTAGCTTCTGGCTGTTATTAAAGGTGACAGAACAGATATCATCTCTTTTAATAATAATACCACATCACAGAGTTAATCAGAAACATTTCCACAAGCGGGTTAAGATATTTAGGATCATTCTTCAAAACAGATGCCGTCTGCATCCTACATTTACATTTAATCCTTTAGCAGACACTTTTATCCAAAGAGACTTAAAATTGAGGAACACAAAAAGCGTTTCGTCACAGGAAGTGCTCGTAATACAAAGCATCCTCATTAACATATGTAAATAATGACTATTTAAAGGGGTCATATGATGCAATTTCAATTTTTCCTTTCTCTTTGGAGTGTTACAAGCTCTTGGTGCATAAAGAAGATCTGTAAAGTTGCAAAGACTAAAGTCTCAAATCCAAAGAGATATAATTACTTTTTAACAACATCATATGACCCCTTTAATGTTTAATGTGGTACTTAATGTGCTAATTAATATTTTTCTAAACAAATTAAAAATCCAGCAGCTTTTTAAATAATAGTAAAAAA